CCTACGTCCCTTCGCGGTCCCCGCGTGTCCCGGTCCCCTGTCGGCCCGCCGGGGCTCTCCGGTGCCGGTGCGGGGCCCCGGAGGGCGCAGTGAGTTTCTTGGAGCCAGCTCTGCCCTGCGCTCCGTTACCGGTGACTCCGACAGCGGGGGCTGTGCGGGGATTCGGACCCGGTGGGCCCTGTCCGGCCACCGGCTCTGGGGGTGGGCTCGTCACCGATGCTGTTTTGCCAGCGCTGCGAAGCTACTCGCCTTTCTGGGAGGTAAAGCACTGCTGGAGAGATCCCAGATTCTGCAGCCAAGGATCCTCCTTTACTCTGGAAGGGGCCATGGATCCCAACTGCTGCTGCCTTCAGCACAAGCTGTGAGCTCAAGCAAAACCTTGACCAGGACACGATCGGATGTGGGCTTTAATTTTCCTCTGCTTCCTCTCTCTCTGCTGTAGCTCTTCCAGCCAGGATGGGTTTGCCTGTGGGCCAACACCAGGCTGGAGTAGAGCAGTGGCACTGAGATCCAGCTGCCTCGGGGGGCAGCTTGAGGGGCACAGGATGAGCACAGATCAGATGGCCCCATCACCACGAGTAGAGGCTCAGTGGTCCAGAGGAGAGTGTGAGTCCAGTCCCATTCTGGAGTCATGAGTTCATCCATGCCATAGGTCCCAAGGCAGGGAAGCAGGAGTCTCGTGCTCATCAGCCACCCCTTTTGCTGCAGGGAGAGGCCTGGGGGTCTGTTCAGTGTGTGGGTGCCCTTTGTCTGGAAGAGCTCGCTTGTGCTGGGACACGCACACCTCAGCAAAGAGCCTGCACAGGTGAGATGTATCCCTTGGGGAAACAATCCTGGCACTGGATGAGGCTGAGGTTTGGGCTGTTAGCAGAGCTGACCTTCAAAATGCCAATGGCAGTGGGGCAGTGGGATCCGCCAAGTGAACAAACAGGAATGGGCCCATGCTTGGGTGGAATTAAAAACTCTCCCGCTCATCTTGGCTGGGAAGGAAGTGCTGCAGATGCTGAAGGAATGAGCAAGAAGCTGGAAATAATAAATCCTTGTAGAGAAGAGGATAAAGGAGCACGCCTGGGGGAAGAAGTCTTTTGTGTTTCTCTGTGCTGCTAGGCCCTCTTTGCCTGGTCAGAGGGCACATGTTTTATGCTGCCCTCGTGAGCACATCTTTGGGGCTGGGCCATTGTGACTATCCTCGATTAAGAGCTAAAATGAAGCGTGCAGAAGGAATTGGCTCAACCTGGAGCTCTGGGTCTGGGCCAGGCTCTGCTGTGGTGGGGTTTCCCTTTGGGGAGGAACACTGCAGCCTTGGAGGCAGCCTGAGAGGTGTGGGAGATTATGCATGAGGATCCCACCAGTGCAGCTTCAAGGGGCCATTCAACTCTGCTACTGTGGGAGCTCCAACTTCCCAGCTTTGCCTCTAATGGAGCATCCTCAGCGCTGCAGAGGGAGCAGGAACCGAGCCAGGCTGCTGGCCTGCCACTGATGATTGCGATGCAGCTCAGCGAGGAGGCTGCTGCTCTTGTGGGTCTGTATTCAGGGCATGGCAGCATCTCACTCGCCAGTCTCCCCAAGAACCCTCAGGCTTGTGCCCAGGATGGGCAAAAACAGAGGATTCTGGAGGTCCTGGGCCCAAATCTCACAGTCCATACATGGCTGAGCATTTCCTCGCCTGACCAGTATGCAGGATCCAATGCTCTTTTTTCAGGAGATGAGAGGGAGAAAGGAGATGCCTCCTGCTTATCCTGCCCTTCTGTTTTGTCCTCTTTCTGGCTGCTGAGGACTGAACCATACTAGAGACATCAGGGAGCTGTTCCTGGAGTGTGTCTGTGCTGGAGAACTTTAGTGAAGCTCCCATGTGGATGATGGCCCATGCCCACATGTGCCTACAGGGAGGAGAGCACCTGGACTCACACAGAGGAACCATCATCCCCTGATCTATTGTTTGCAACTGAGATTGATAATCTGAGAGACTGGGGAATTTGGCAGCTCCTTCATGTCCCAGCTCAGACCCAAAAGGCAAAAGCAGCTAAAAAATGGTAGTGATAAAGTCCACAAAATTCCAAACAGCACATAACTGAATGGAGAATACTGGGATTCTCAGTCAAAATTAAGTGTTTTGACATGCCAGAACATCACTCTTCATTTCACTGACATTCCAGGCTGAAAAGTCTCTAGTCAGACCAAACATTTGTAGTTGTAATCTCACGACACTGAAGGTTGATAACTGTCAAAACAGCAATTTCTGAGGACCTGTGTTTTCTGATGGGACTTTGGGCACGAGTGGAAGCTCTGAGTGCCTCTGCCAGCTCCTTGTCCTCGTGCTGCCCTGAACCACATGTGCTCTCCTGGCCACCACCATGGCTCCTGCCCAGCTCAGTGTGCCCTTCGGAGTGTGGCATGAACAGTGTGGATTGCATTATTGATAACACTGTAATTTATTTATGCTTCCTTGGCTGTAGCAAACAGCTCAGCCTTTTTGAGCTAAATATACTTTGCACTGGGAGTGTGTTGTTGTTCTCTGTGGGATGGATTGGCCAGTAGAGTGCTTGGTGTTTGGTCTAGCTGAGAGGTTTAGGGATGTCTCCTGGAAACTTCACATGGGTTCACCCTGGAGGGTTCCATGGGCAGGAGCTGGGGATGGGCTCCTCCAGAGGGACTCTGGTGTGTGCTGTGGGGCTCAGGCCTGGTGCCTGCGAGCTGGGCTGTGCTCCCTGCATGAAGTGGAGCTGGAGCAGCACCCAGGAAACCAGCATCTCCTGATGGGGACCTGGCTTCTCTGCTGGAAGGCACGTGGGAGGTTTGTTGGCACTGGGGACTCACTGTCGCAAAAATTGCATTGGCACTGTGTCTCCTGTCCTCACATCTGGGCTGCAAGGTTGCTGCATGCTTGTCCAGCTGGGACACAGCTCCTGCATGGGCACATCCCCAGGCCTGGTTGCATGCAGTGCTGGGGCACACACTGCCTCTGGATTTGGGTGCAGGACCGAGCAGCTCGGAGAGAGCTGTTTGCTTTGTCATTGAGCAAACAGTGCATGCTTCAAGCTGACATCAGTATTTGTACAGTGGGCTGGCACATCTCCAAAGGGACTCCAACAGTACCAGCTGTTGAATGATTCCCCTCTGAGAAGCCTCATGCAGAGCATATTCTGCCAGAGCACCAGAGATCCTAAACATGGGCTTACAGGAGAGTCCCACAGTCCCACCACATCACCTTGAGGAGCAATGGTTTTCCTGCACATTGAGCCGTACTGGATTCTTTCTGACAATGGAGGGGCTGGAGCAGGAGCAGCCCCTCATCACCCAGCGGGCAGCAATGGAGTCAGGACAGCAGGTAGGATCCTGCCAGCCACTCTTCAGTCTGCTCCTGGCCAAGCTGACCATTGTACAGCATTAACTAGAAGCATTTCCTTACCTCTAAATTCCTTTTTAGCATAAAACATGTGGTTTCATCAAGATACTTTTGAGTTTTTTTCCTGGGCAAATGTCAATGCTTTTGATGACATTTTCTGATTTTTGTTTTCCAGATGGGAGAATCAAAGTGCAAAATACCACTTTAAATCACCACTTCGGAATGAAACATTTTTCATTTTGAAATGTCAGTTTAAAACAGGACAATTCATTTTTAAATGCTTCAAAACAAGAAATGTCCTTTTTACCACTTCAAATCACTTTGTTTTGATTAAGAATGTCAGCATGTTGTGTCCTGGCTCTTCATTAGAGGAGTCTGTTTCACTGTCTCATGGTCCAGAGCAGACAAAAATTTCAAACATGGTTGAAAATTGAAGATTTCTTCTCTGAGAAATGTGGGTTTGTCCAGTGCACTGCTGGAACTCTGCACTGCCTGTGGAGGGGACTGTGGATGCAAGGTTGGCACAGGGCAGTGGTACCCCTGGCACCTGCTGCTGGTCCTGGCAGCACTCCCCATCCTCGGTGTCATCACCACTTGCCTTTGGTATCTTGTTAGTAAGTTATGATCAATCCAGCACTAAAATTTTATGTGGGACATGGTTGTTTGCTGGACCTGGTTAGAGCCCAGCAGGTGGTAATGGAGGCTGGGAGGTCACCATGTCACTTGGCAAATGCCAAGCAGTCACGTCACTGTTGGTGCCACTGCCCGCGGAGCGCTGGAGATGTTCCTGTCTGAAGGGCTGTGGCTGTAAATAGTGAAGAAAACATACCTTTTGGAATTTTTTCCCTAGTGGCTCTAGATGATGTAAAACTTGGCTTCTTCCCAGCGTGTGCTGCATGGAGTGGGAGTGGTGCCAGTGTGGTGCCAAGAGAGGTTGTTGGTGTGTCCAGAGGTCGCCGATGCAGTTCTGAGTGTGTGGTTGCATGAACTTGGCATCTGTGCTGGCAGGAGGAACAGCCCCAGGAGAACAATAACACGCTGGGAGAGTGGCCTGAAGGTCCTGGTGCTGCCATGGGCTCTGTGTATCCGACTGGCAATCAGTTGCCCTGTTCCTCAGCTTCCTGGGGGCCCAGCACATCCAGTGGGAGCAGCCCATCCTTCTGTTTGTCAGCAAGTGGTTTGAAAATTCCAAGCCTTGGCATCACTGCAAGGGACCTCAGTGACACAAGGACAAGAACAGCACATAAAACAGCACAGAAAAGGCAGAACCCGAAATGACTCGCTGCTGATCTGCTATGGCTCTTCCCACACACACTGGGTGTGCATTGAGTGTGTGTCATCTGCTTTAATAACCTTCTATAAAGGACCTGATTTTATGCTCTTAGGAGTAAAAATTAGGAGCAGCTCTCAGGTCCTGCTGTTCAAAGGGGTGCAGGGTTATGGGCTGAGCTCCTGGAGAAGTTTCAGTGGTGCAATGGGCACGTGCTCATGCATACGTGTCTCAGAGTGTGTGTCCTGAGTGTGAAGTGGGGCTGGTGAAATTCCCAGGTGTCCCCAGCCACTCCCAGGGACACAGTGACTCACACTGAATGACAGGTATCACTGCCCATGTCCTTCTTTCTCCTTCAGATGTGCTGATGTCTGCTCCTTGCAAAGACCTGACCCACCTGAGGCTGGCAGATGCACAGATGTGAGCGTGAATCCCCAGTAAAAGGTAACCATCACTCACCTGTACAACTGCTGGTGGGATCTCTTTCTGTCCTGCTGCAATGGCCCATGCTGCTGATGAAGTCTGAGGTCATCTGAGGGTGGTGGGTGAATCCTTTCATCTCCCAGGGCCATGTCCCCACAGCCAGGATACCCCAGTCCTCACAACGTTCAGGAGTCGTACCATTGCGTGCAGGAACATTGGTGAGTGGATCTGCACCTCCCAGCCCTCCTCAGTCCCTCTTCCTCCACATATCTCTTCTTCTTTTCGGTAGAATGAGTGAGAGAGACATACAGAACCTGACCAAATGGGTTTTCGTGCTCACTCTCTGCCTTACCACGCTGTGGGGACGACTGACGCTGGCCTCCATGCATCACCACAGAAGCCATTCAGGTAGGGGAGCAAGATCCTCACTGCTTGTGTCACATGCTTGTGCAATCATCTGTGTCCCCATGTTAATGGCAGTACTTTGAGATCATCATGGAATGCCTGAAGTGGGTTCATGGGGATGAGATGCTTGGTGAAGTTCTGTCTCGCATTTCTTGGTGAGGGGAGGAGGAGTTTCAGGCTGTGGTGCACATCAGGAGCAGACAGGTGTCTCTCTGGGGACCAAATGCTGACAGGCTGAAGCAGATCAGTGTCCATCGCTGTTCCTGGGGTCTGGGCAAGCCAGGATGAGTGTGCCAGACGTGTGGTGGTACTGGTGTTACTGACGTTACTGGCAGAGCTGTGCATCTGGCAGCACAGACGAACACCTGGATCCCAGGGCACCTGCTCTCTGCTTCATGTGCCTCTGCTTGGTAAGGGCATTTATGGGTTAATTTGAAACCGTTCATGCTCTTGATTGACCCCACACCTAACCCTGTCCTACTTCTGTCATTTTTGCCTGACAGTTAAAGCAGTTCTAATCCTGTAATCCCTACCCACATCACTTAAAACCAAAACACATCTTCTGGAGTGACTCTCTCCCCCAATCAGTCCACGGCCACCTGCCTTTCCCTTGTCCTAACCCTGGCTACCCCATCCTTGGAAGTGTCCAAGCCCAGGCTGGACAGGACTTTGGGCAACCTGCTCTAGTGGAAGGTGGCCCTGGTAGTGTCAGGGAGTGGAACAAGATGAGCTTTAAGCTTCTTTCCAACCTAAACAATTCTGTGATTCTAATTGGGAGAAAACTGTTCTTTTTTTTTTCTTTTATTTCTTTTTTTTCTGGGATGACTTTTTGACACTGAATCAGTTCTACAAAGGATATGGGCACTACTGGCAGTTTATGTGCTCAGTCAACCTGCCCAACCCCGGTGCCAGAGAGCCCTGCTCCTCCATGGGATCAGTTTGCAGGGAGCTGTTTCTCTGGGGAAGAGTCACAGCAGGGATTAACAAAGCAGATGAGGTTTGAAGTGCAGATGCCCAGGTGTACTGATGGGTGTGAATTACCTATAAATCTCACTCATCCATGAGCAGCCAGGCTCTTGTATTCATGTGCCAGCAGACACAGAGTCAGGGATGTTTTGCTCTCAAAGACTTACCCAGACCAGACAAAATTGTATGATTTTTATTCAGGAAAATTTGATCCTCAGAAAAGAGGGCAGACCAGGAGCAAACACGTGGAAGTTTGACCCTGTTCCGTGTCTGTATGAACACATTTCTCTCTGCCCATCCTGCTTTCTTGACATTGTAAGAATTTCCTGTGACTGCCTCATCTCTTGGGCTGCATTTCCATGGTCTCAAAGCAGGAATTCTTTGACTACTTACTGAGTTCATGGGCTTTATTCTCCTGTTGTCTGCCCTCTTGTTGCTGCATTTGGGACAGGTTTCGGTGAAGGTTATGTTTGAAACATAATGCTGCATAGTAATGTTGCTTTCATAATTCTCAGTGGCAGTGACATTTGTGTCCAAGGAAGCTGCAGTTCTGTTCCTGTGTGGAGTTGAGGAGGGATAACTGTGTCACTGATGCCTGAGACTCTTAGAGTCAGAGATGCTGAGGGACAGATATATCCAGAGCTTTCATTCCATTAAAGAACTGTGTTTATTCACAGGCAAAACCACCTAAAAATTATCAATAGCAGAGGAAGATCTTTAATTGTGATCTCGAACTTACAAATTTCTTGAAGAGAGAGTCCGCGTGCAAGCCCTCTGTTTGCTGTCCAGGGACACATCTGACTGTTGCAACCAGGTCTGATAATAGAATTATAGAGTACCTCGAGTTGGAAGAGATCCACAAGGATCATGAAGTCCAGCTCCTGGCTCTGCACACAGATCATACCATGGGCCTGAGCTCTCTTGTGCCCACCCAGCACATGGAGACGCTGCTCTCTCCAAGCAAAGCGCTGCTTCCTGCAGAATGTGGCTGGATTTAAAGAGCCACATGAATCAAGCACAGTCATTTGGAAACAGAGTAGGAGACTCCTCAGTGAAGAATGATTCACCAGCAGTTTAATCCCCTATGTAACATGGTGAGGTCTTCATGATGAAAAAGGCTGGAATGTCAGGATCTAACTCCCACAAAGGTGGCCTCAGCACCTTCTAGTGCTGATAATCAAAAGGCTGTCTTTGCCTTTATGTTCATCACTCAACCTGAAGCAGAAGTAAAAGGCATTTAAATCAGGTGGGATTTTTTCTTTTGGGAAATGAGGTTCTCTGGGCATTGCCTGGAACTCACATGCATCCAACTTCTCTTCATCTTGTAGCTCTCCACCAGCCAGCAGTATTTTACACTGCACATGTGGAGTGGTGCCCACACTATTTGAGACACTCAAAATGTGCCATTTCAGGTTATGCTATAAAAACCCCATGTTCTGTTGCTCATTTAAAGTTCAACAAGAGTAGGACAGCATTTTTATTTTATTTTTGCATGCCGGGTTCAAAAGCCTTTTGCTCTTTCAATTCTTTTATGGTTTCATGAGATAAGCTGTGTCTTTTTAAAAAAGGTTCCAGTGGGGAAATACCAGTTAAATGGGAGGGAGAAGCATGCCAGAGCTTTGGAATTTATCCCAGGCTCTCGGGAGGTTTCCTGCTGTCGGTGTTAAACACACCATCCATCTGATATGCATTTTGTTCCAAGCTTCCTGCTGCTCAGCAGAAGGAGAAGCAGCTGCAGGGAGCTCTGGAGCCCGCAGCTCACACTGCACGTGGGCTCAGCCTCTCTGCTCACACTTGCCAGGTGTGGGATGTGGGAGCCCCGTGAGGCAGGGACCTCCCAGCACCGCTCTGCTGCTGGTGTCCCATGGCATGGGGATGCTCCTCTCCTCTGCAGCGAGGAAGCAGCAGTGTCTCCTGTTGACATCCTGGGAATCACCATGTCTGAGGCAGAGGGATTCCTTGGCTCTCAGTTACAGCCCCCAAACTCCTGTGCTCACATGAACATTGGGGTCTGGCATGGTTGATGTTGCCTGCGGGCCAGAGGTGGGAAACAAGTGAATCTGGTGTGTAGGAGCTGAGGTGCTTTATGCCAGCTGGGATAGCCTTACCTGGCTCTTCATGGGCATGTCACCTCTGCTCAAATGCCATGGCCTGGGAAGGGGACGCACTGTATCCTGCTGCCAGGGCTGGGCTGGCATCAGGAGGGGGCAAATTTCCAGTGGCACTGTGTCCTAGGGCAGGGTGCCAGATGGTCACAAGACAATGCAATGGTGAATGATTTTAAACTGGAAGGAGACAGGTTTTGACCAGATGTTCAGTAGAAATTCCTCCTGTGACGGTGATGACCTGGCACAGGTTGCTCTTGAACACACTCCTGGAAGTGTTCAAGGCCAGGCTGGATGGGGCTTGGAGTAACCTAGTCCAGTGTCCCTGCCCATGTCAAGGCGCAGAATGAGATGATTTTTAAGGTTCTTTCCAACCCAAGCCAGTCACTGATTCTACAGTTCTAAGACATTTAGGCAAATGTAAGTATTTTGTGGTCTGAGAGTGGGATGGGTCCCTGGGGCTGTGTGCTGCTCCTTCAGCTCTGCCATCAGTAGGGCCCTTGCTGTGTGTGCTCCAAGGGGGCTGTGTGGCTGTGCCAGGGGCTGTGTGGCTGTGCCAGGGGCTGTGTGGCTGTGCCAGGGCAATGGGGACCTGCCCACACAGGCAGCTCTTCCTGGGCAGGGGCTCTGAGGCTGCAGGTCCAGCACCACAATGCCCCACACTCAGCTAGGAAGGCAGAGGGAGTAAAATCGCTCTTTATCTCTGGGCTGCACCTTTCTGGGCAAATTAAAAGGGCTTTGACACGTTAGCAAACTGCTATTGCATGGTTGTAATGAGCGATTTCTCAGTTCTGCCTGGCTCTCCCTCAGCTGAACCTTTTAAAATTAGCTGAAAATGAGCAGCTGGAGAGCAGGAATGCAAGGGAGCGCAGGGGTTGCCTGGGCAGCCCTCCCGGGAAAAGCTCTGCTAATGAAGCTTTTCTGAAAATGAGAACATGGAGGCTTGAGGGTGAAAAATTCCCTGCTGAGGTGCGCAGCCTGGAAGAGAGACTCCTTGTGGTCCTGGACCACGGTGTGATAGGAATGTGGGCTCATAGGCAGCCAAAGCCAAGGATCTCTACTTCTTCCTGAGATTATTTGAAAAATCCCATGGAGCTTAAAGAAGGGGCAAAACAGTCATGTTTGTGCTGCAAAGAGCTGCTTTCCTTCTCACTTTCACTGAACTCTACCATTTCTGTATACAAAAAGAACGGAATTCATTATTAAAACTGCATTACTATGGCTTTTCAAAGGGTAGATAAAATCTGTGGCCAGAGACACTATTACAAAATATTCCATATAATAATTGTGTAATTATTATGGACAGAAATGAAAGTAAGTGTCCATTAAAAGAAAATGACCATGAAATAGCAATAAATAAGGGTCAGCTGCCCTGGTCCCCCTGAATTTGGGCACTGGTGGTGGATGGGATCTGCAGAGGACACTCCAGCAGTGACCAGGAGCGAGGCAGAGCTGGGAGCTGTGACGGGGTGGGCAGGATGAGGCAAATGCAAGGTGGGTCAGAGCAACTGCTGAGCCTCATGTGCTGGGAGAGGACCGAGTGTGGGCTTATGCTCAGAGGTGCAGCAGCACACATCATTCCACACAGCCCTGCATGTCCTGCTTGCACCTCCTTCCAAACCTTTCCTCTGGGGACAGCTCCTGGAGGCTCCTGCCTGCACTCCAGGGTGTGGAAGGTGTCCTGAGCCAAGCATATGGAACAACCAGGAATGCCCTGATGCCTGCTTACCTGCCTACTACCTGCTGTCCCAAAATGGGACACCACACTGCAGGAATGCAGCTTCCCTGTCCTCTACCCAGCTTGGCTCCTTTTTGCCAGGGAATAGAAGCCTGTTCCCAGTGACCCAAGGTACCCAGGGCATGCCCATGTGTGGCTCTGCACTGCTCCTCCAGTGCTCATTAAGCAGGACCTGCAGGGATCTCTGGGGTCATGGAATGAAGTCTTTCAGCCCTTTTTGGCTGATACTGTGCTTGTGTGGGCCATTACCCAGCCAAAGCACTGATCTGAGATGCTGACCAGCTCTAAACTCTGATCCCAGAGGTGATCAGCCAACACAGTAGTTTTCTATTTCCTTAATATTTTAATGGCACTGGGAGGGGGAGCAACAGAGCAGCTTGGATTGCTGATGAACACTCTGACATTTTTCTGCCACTGCAGGGTGGAAGCAGCATCTTGATCCTTCCTTCTCCAGGCAGAGGGTGGGTGATGGAGAGGTGGAGGCATTGATTGTAGCTGGGGTCAGAGGTGATGGTGCTCTGCTTGAAGCCAAAAGCAGCACAATGCACCATCCCATCTTGTAGCAAAGTGGGTTTAATGCAAAGCTGCATTATCATCTGCAATTAGCTGGTGTGCTCATTAGTTTCAGTAAACCTCTTGGCTGGCCGTGGTGAGAGGGGATGAATTTTGGGGGGTAAGATGGGCATGAGGGCTCTTAGGAGCAAGAGCTCAGATGCAAGAGGTGTGGAGCAGGAGCTACCACTTTTCTGTACAGGTGGGCTGGGAAGATGCTGTGCCCAGACACCTGTATGTCACCAGCAGCTCTGGGGGTGATTCTAGAGGTTGGGACAGCACTGCACATGCCGGGCTCTCCTGGGGCCTTGGCCACCGCTCACCCCAGCAGTGTTGCCCAGGGCAGTGGCAGGAGGTGGTCTAGGGTCTCTTCTCAAGGCAGTGGGCAGCAGATGGCCTGAGGTCTCTGAGGTCTGATGGTGGCTGTTTCTCCTCCTGCAGTGCATGTAGAGCCCGGCACATGCGAAGTCATTGCAGCTCACCGGTGCTGCAACAAGAACAAGATCGAGGAGCGCTCGCAGACAGTGAAATGCTCCTGTTTCCCAGGGCAGGTGGCAGGGACAACGCGGGCAGCTCCCTCCTGTGTGGACGGTGAGTATCCATCCTTTTCAATCCCTGACCTCATCTTCACATCCAGTTAAACTGGTGTGGGGTTTCCATGTCCCTGGCATTAACAGAGGAGGATTAAGGCATTAACCTGCCCAGGGATCCTGCAGCAGAGTCGTGAGGAAGGCGGCACATTCTGGGGACACTCTCACCTCACTGGACACTCACAGTGGTGTGGCTGTGATACTTGACTCTGTGCAGCCCTGGGCCATGAGCTGTGGGGGAGTTACTGAAGTTTCAGCACCACTGTGCTGGGGTCAGGTGTGCAGCACTGATCCCTGCACACCTCCTCACCCTGCTGCCACAGCTGGAGGTGGGGATGTGATTCCAGCCATGCAGCACCTTTGCGTGTCCAGAGCACCAAACGCAAACTCTGTATGTTTTATTGGTGCCATCACGTGCCATGACCAAAGAGCCATTGGGAGCACCGCCAGCCCCCGCCAGCGTGGTATTGATTTGCTTGACAGCCAGTGCCCTGCGACTGCAGTTCTGTGCAACACCAAGTAATTCTAGAATGAATTGTTAGGGAAGGCTCTTGCTGTCCCCAGCAGCTTAGGTCATATTGTTCCCAAATAAAAGAGAGCCTATTCTGGTTGCCCAGACTAGAGGCATGAATCACAAGACCCTAATAGAGCAGAGTGGTAGAAGACAATCCCTTCGCTCTGTTAGTGAAGCCTGAAACAGGTTATTGAGCAGCACTGCTCTCCCTGCTCTTGCTGGGAGAGAGGACATTGGGCTTTTTTTTCCTGGGGTAGTGAGAGAAAACAAGGTGTTCTGGAGGCAGGTGGAGCAGTTGGGGCAGGTGAGGCCAGGCAGGTGACAAGCAGCTCCTTGTCCAGGGCTCCTCAGCATGAGCTGTGCTGGAGAGAGGGGCTGTATCTCCTGATGTCACTCAAAGGTGAGCAGAACTGGTCCTCCATACCCTGTGCTGCAGCCTGGCTGCTGATCCCCTCCTCTCCCCTAGCCTCCATCGTGCTGCAGAAGTGGTGGTGCCAGATGGAGCCGTGTCTCGATGGGGAAGAGTGCAAAGTGCTGCCTGACCTCTCGGGGTGGAGCTGCAGCAGTGGCAACAAAGTGAAGACGACCAAGGTGCGTCCCCAGCAGGTGATGGGGGGGAACCCAGCTGTGCCTTCCCCAGCCAGGGGCAAGCAAAAACCAGGAGACCTTCCCAATTCTGTGGGGAAGGAGAGAGCTCCAGCTCCTTCAGGGCACACACTGTTTAATAAGGACTCACTGAGGCAGAGCAGAGGGGCTGGGCTGTGGACTTGTCACTAGTGCTGGAGGGGCTGGCAGGTGTACCACAAACCTGAGTGAATCCCACAGATTTTCCAGTTGATAATTCTTGCTGGGAGCCTTGCTGTTGGATGGCTCGGCCCTTGAGCAGACATCCTAGGTGTGTGTCTGGAACATCCCAGGGCTCCCAGGGTGTCCAGGTTACTCCCCAGTGCCACCCTCTGCTCCGGGGCAGCAGGTTGCCTTTCCCAACCCAGTGGCACAGCCCTGAATCTGTCCCCGTTCCCTGTCTGAGGCAATCATTTGTGACAGAGCACTACACGATTATTATTTTCATGGCTTGCTGAATGCCCCAAGGAACAAGGTGTAATTAAAATTTTATCAAACTCATTAGTAATTACATATATGCCATGGTTAATCAGTTGCATAATTTTGTAATCATTGTTCATACTGTTGACTGTAATTATTCCTTATGCTTTCATTTTCCTTGCCCCACATCCCCCACCACAAAATTATTGTATTAAGCAATGTCAGGGTTCTTTTCATTGCTGCTATTATTTTTGTGCACAGAAAGCACTTTCATGCTGAAGTGCTTTTATGGACATCCAAAAAGGTTCCTCCAGCCCTGAGCATCTATCACTGACCAGTAACTGCAGCACTACATTGAGCTGGCTGTCTTTTTCCCCCTTTAGTGTTTTTTGGTTTGTTTCCCCCAGCTACTAACTTAGCCCAAAACCTCTGCTCTGCCTTTGCTGTCTTGAATTCTCACTGGGACCATTCCCATCTGGAATGGGAGCAGGACTCAGGAGCTTCTGCTCTCCTGCCTCATGCAGCAGACCTCTCCTTTTGGGTGCCGTGCCCTTCCTTAGGGAGGTGACAGTTTTGAAACACAGACCTGTGTTTTCATAAGGACTTCTGGTAACTTTGGGTGATTTGAGTGCCTTTGGAATGGTTCCAAAGGGCTGGATCTGCATCTCAGTCCCCTGGGCAGCCAGACCTCAGTGGGACATGCACCCAGAGCACAGAAATCACAGACGATTCATAAGGTGACTCCATAAAATGAAAGTAAAGAGCTGATCTTACTTGCACCTCTTGAGGCTGTTTGCTGATAATTCATGGATGGGGAATCAGCTGGATGCATTGGTTAACTTCTGCTCTCCTCTGCAGGTCACTCGATAGCCTCCATGCCGTGTGGCGCTGGCTGACCAGCCTTGGCGTGGGTCCTGGTGCTGCCATGAGCAGCAGGACGTGGCCCAGTGCCTGCAGAGGTGGGATGCTCCAGGGCCACCATCCTACACCCGTCAGCGGGACCGTGACAGCTACTGGATCAGAGCATGTGCTGAGCCCCAGCTTCCCTGGAGGCTGCAGGCAGGGACCCCATTGCAGCTGCCAGAATCCCATCACTTCACGGTTTCCTCCTTTTCTCTGGACACATCCTCCTAAATAAAATACTCCCACTATGTAAGAGCTGTTGACAATCCAGAGACAGGCAGCAGGCCCCCAAAATGGGCTTTAATCTGAATAGCTGAAATCATTGCTGTGAGTCGCCTTTCACTATCTCCTGAGATGCTGAATCCAAGTTGCAGTCAGGAATCAAGAAGCCTATGGTTATGTGAAGCCCTTCCCCATGTGGCTCCTGGCCCTGGGGTTCCTAGGAGCAGCCTCTGAGCTCCAGCCTGATACTGAATCACTGGGGGCTGCTGTGCCCTCGGAGCACTGGCCTTTCCTTGCCCCACTGCCTTCCTGCTATGATCACATGCAGCAGATGGGGCAGCATAGTCAGAGGGTGTCTGACAGCCTGTTGGCCCCCAGGGATGGTGAGATGTCTCCATGGAGCATGCTGCTGGTTTCTCCTTCCTTGGTAATTGCATTAATCAGGTTGAAAATTTAATGTTTTCCACCATGCAAGTCCCAGGCACTGAGTTTCTGCTTGTGTTTGCAATTAAATTCCAGAGTTGTGCAAGGGGATCTCTCTGTCTGTGGCTGTGGGATGTCTAGGGCATGCAGATGCCCAGATAGCATCTCAGACTGAGCCAGATTTTGTTGCAGTAATCCAAAATAAAGAAAAATTTACCACCTCCTGGACCTGAGCTCATGACCTTCTCCAGGACACAGCATTTCCTGTGGTATAGAGACTGAAGGTGGGGGAGAATGTGAGCTCTGTGCCCCCAGTGTCACACACGCTTGGGGCCCTGGGGCTGTGGGGCCAGCACCTCCAGCCCTGCTCTGGGTCCCTGCAGGGATGTGCTGGTGCAGGAGGGGCTGGAGATGGGGAGGGGGCCATGACAATGAGGGGGTCACTGGGTTTGCTGCCACCTGCCTCCTGCCCTGACTCCCAGCACAAGACTCATTATTGAGTAATGACTCATTTTTGTAATGGGGTATGTAGTACCCTCTCCAGATGTAATGTAAATACCACACTGTGAAATAATAAATTCATTTTAATCTCTTTTCACTCAGCAGCAAAGGGAGGCTCTAGGAATGCTTCTCATGCTGCTGAATCCAAGGTGAAGGGGCTGGGGACTCTGCCCTGGCCATTCCAATCCCGAACAGCTTGTGCAATGGTGGCTCTGGAGGAGAGCTGAAAGCCTTTTGTGGCCAGCAAAAGCTGATTAGCTCATAGTGGTCCTAAAGAAAAGTGCATTAATTTCTACAGGGTGCTCTCCTGAGAGCTTCTCTTGTCCTGTCCCTCCACCTCTGTGTGGCAGCTCCCACTGCTGCAGTGCCATGTCCCCACAGATGCTACCCCATCCAAGGCCAGACTGTGATTGTAAGGTCCCCACCTGGAGCCCTGTCCCCCCTGAGAACCCATGCTATGAATGCAGAGCAGGAATCTGTTATTTCCAGTAGCAAACATCAGGTGGATGGGAGCATCCCTGCTTGACTGAGCATTTTCATAGTTCGCTCATAATGTGAGGGATCCACTCTGCAGAAGTACTGGACTTGACACCTACATTGATATAAAAATATTTTATTGCCTTCATAATAGGCACCCTTGCAGCTTATTTTTCACTTACTGCAGTCCACAGTTTAGTGAGGAAATAGCCCCTTGGTGTCTCTGCTGAGTGCTGACCTCGCTGCTATCACACCATCAGAGTACACAAATACTGCAAATTGCTGCTCCTCTCCTGGCAGGTAAATGTGTTTCCAAGGAAAACGTTGTGGCCTGCAGGACTGCTGGTGTTATCTCTGGTTCCTGAACAGCCAGGAAGGATGCTCCTGCCACAGCTCCTGGAGCAATAAACCAAGGAGGACGGTGATGGTGATGGGAACATCTCTGGGCTGAGGCAAGGACTTTGATCCCCTGTCTCTTTGCTGCCTCAGTGGGACAATGCTGCCTGCACTGCTGGTCCCCAGCAACCTTGGACATCCTGATCCCTTCTCTCTGCATGTGACCACACTGCTGGTCCCTGAAGGACAAATCAGCCCCTGCAGCTGCATCAGCAACTTGGAGACCCCAGACTATCACGCCAGGCTCCCAGATCCATCCTGCCCAAGTCCCCATCTTGGTGGGTAAGTCCTGTGCAAAGTTCTGTCTTGGCACATCTGTGCAGTAACTGACTGGGAGCGTGCACAGACAAGATCTGAAGTTGTCTGAGGGGTGATTAATCAGAGGAAACTGTCACAGTTAATGTATTTTCAATATCCTCGGTATTGTAATTACACCCCATTCAATTAGTCTTCAGGAAAAAATAAAGTCTTTTGTATTAAGATTTGGTGGAGAATTATTAGAGAGTGAATTAAAAGACAAGGATTCCATTTTACCTACAAATACTAAAAGCATAATGCATAAAATACCCCCAAATTACAAGCTGACTAAATTTAGAGCTGTGCTAGGAGGTGAAATGAAAGGTAAAATGAAACCCTTTGAGCAGTACAAGGTGCAGTATTATCAGAGAAATAAGATGGAAACATAATTAACCACCCAGCATTATGCTGAAAGACGGCAAATTGAAATGGGAGACAAAATTAGGTGAAATTGCAGAGCAGGCTCATTTATTTCTGCTTTATAAATCAGTGCTACCTATCAGCAGTGATGCCAAGCCATTCCAGAACAGGAGCTTTCCAAGGGATGCTGTTCACAGGGACCTCACCTTGTCCAAGATGGGGCTGCTGTGCTCTCCTGTGCCACTGTAGGAACAGGTGATGCCTCCAAGGGTCACATCTTTGGTGCCCTTTCCTTCACTGGCCGTGGTGCATCCAGGACACGTCTGGTGCACCCTCCCCCAAAAACTGGTTCCCTTTCCCTGATGCATTGCTGCTCTAACTAGTGCCACCCTTGTGACTTTTGCAGGTATTACATCTCACAGGGAACCTACCCTCAGTGGCCTCTTGCACTGATCAGTTGAAGTCCAGTTTAGGGCTGGAGGAACATTTTCTTTAACTGTGCTAAATTTCCTCCTCTCAGGCTTAATTGGCTCCCATTCCCTATAACCTCTGCCCCCTCCACCCTCCTGTTGTTGCTGTGCTTGCTCCTCTCTGCCCGTTTGCTTTATTGCTGCTTTTCAATGAATTCAAACAAGAAAAGAATTGTCTTTTCCAGAATTTTACTGAAAGATTTTTGTTAGGATCACCTCAGCTATGCAAAACCATCCCTGTGATCTCCCTGTGCTGTTCTCAGGAATGGAGAAACCCAGAATTTGCTTATTGAGAAGCAGAATCTGTCTCATCTAGCTTACAAGATTCACAGAGATGGCAGGTGCATGTGGCTGTTCTGGCACTCTTGTGTTTGGACATGAGCATGTGGGTCAGACTTTTTCTACTTTGCCAATACCTTTCACAAAGAAACTCTACTCTTAATTTTTTTCTTTTTCCCCATCCCTCTCTGGCTTGTTTGTAAGTAGATCCTGTTTTGGGGATGTGTAGCAAATGGCTTCAGCATCCAGACATGCTGCCCCATCCCTCCAGCACTCAGGACAAAAGCCAACAGCAGCCACAGCCCCACCCCAGGATGTGGGGACATGTGGCCCTAGGGCCATGGGGCCATGGGCGCCTTCCCCATTGCCTTGCATGCCATGGGACTCTATTAGAATCACCAAGATAAAAATGCAGCAGCACAGTCTTTTCTCTAGTTAATACACTGTGATGTGGCTGTTTGAAGCATTAGATGGCTCTCCCAAAAATGCATCCTCATGTTTTATTCAAATGTGCATTTGTGGAGATGTTCTTAAGGGAATGAATCAAATATTCATTCAGATGCTACTGCGCAATAAAGGCAGTCAGGGCAGAAACTGCGCTGCTGGCTCAGGGCAGAGCTGGCCCTGCTGCAGGCAGCTTGACTCCTGCCAGGCCCCAGGAGGATCCCTGGGAATCATGGAATCATAGAATATCCTGAGCTAGAAAGGATCCACGAGGATCACTGAGTCCAGTTCCTGGCCTGCACAGGACATCCCCGAGAACCCCACCATTTGCCTGGTGTGGATGAGGGATGCTGGTCCTTGCTGCCACCTGCCTGGGAGGGCCCAGCGCTCTCCAGGGGCTCTGGCACAGCCCTTAATGCAGAACTCATGGATCCATCTGGCCCTGGAGCAGACACTGCTGAACAGGATGGTGAGACACTGGCACAGGTTGCCCAGAGAAGCTGTGATTCTCCCATCCCTGCAATTGATCTAAGCCACGTTGGACAAGCCTTGAAGCAATCTGGTCTGGTAGAAGGTGTCCCTGCCCGTGGCACAAGGTGATCTTTAAGGTTCCTTCCAATTCAAACCATTCTGGATTCTACAATTCTGCTGCTGTGTATTTTCTTCTGTCCAGGGTCAGTCCATCTGTGCCACACCGAGGCAGGTGAGCTGCAGAGGTGGCACTGAAGCAGAGGGCAATGCCCATGTCCCATCTTGCTGCAGTCAAAACCCCAAGTCTGACTCCCATCCCAAACTGGCAGAAAAAGTTAGGTGACCCAAGGGCCATATGTCTCTCCTGCCCATCTCCACATCTGGATCCCTGCAGGCTTGGCAAAGCCAGATCATAGAGTAATACAATCATGCTCTCCCCTCCCCAGGAGAAAGGCTTTTGGACATGAGGGGCTGCACGGACATGGGTTCATCCTGGGCAGACTCTGCTTACTACCTGGATCAGGGATTAAATAGAGGCTTATTTTTATAAAGGGATTTCTAGCCTCGTTTTCCTGCTGGGGCAGCTGCAGTGGCCACAGCAGAAAAAGTGCCATTGGCTGGGGCAGAGTAGAAAGGGAGGATGCAATTTAATTTGTGCATTTCCCAGCTTGTTAATCTCCCGATTTACTGCTGGTATTTGATTTCCGTAGCACTGCTTCGTAATAAAGGGATTAGCCTGGGCCATAGGTCTGCTCTGATGCTCATCTACCAGGGATTACTGAGAAATTTTGCAGTTAGTTAATGGGTCAAATAGGTAGAAATATGTGTACAGTTTTGTTGACATTTGCAGGAACATGTTTGCACTTGTTCTCCTGACCCATTCAGCACCCCCTGCTTCCTGTGTCCTGGGGGT